TTTATACAGCTTTCCTAGTGAAAAATCTTGGAGGGGGGGGTGTTTAAGCTAATGCTGCTGAAATTCCTTTCCCAAGTTACAGGCGATGTCTTACTTTCTTGAGGGTGTCTCTGATGTCTTTTTGATTGCTGAATCTGTCTGTCTAGCTAGCAGTTTCTCAAAGGGCTGTTGCAATCAATAGTCTATGCTGCCAACATCTGCTCTTTGTTTTCATTGCCCTGAGTAGCTGAAAACCTATCTGAGACAACCTCCCATTCTTAAATGTAAATGGTCACATATGTAGAATGACTAACAATTTATTGACATTAATAACAAAAACTAAGGACCTGTCCACATGGGGAAATTTACCAATAATAATTATACCATTATAGTTATACACTTCCAATGTAACATAAGCTAAATCACAACAATGCACTTTTATTCTGTAATAAGTGTCCACACAGAGAGCTATTCTGATACAGTGATGCTGAAAAAATTTCCCCATGCAGACAAGCCCTAAGAGACCAGGAGCAGATATCAAAACAAAGAAATGCAGGAACATTACAACATACAGACTATAGACAGGAAAATGTGAAAGCTGACAGCACAGAGATGCATTAAATGGAAACTTCCACTCTTAAAAGAGAGCTCTATGTAGTTCATGTGGGCTAGACCCCCCTCTGAGTCCCCAGCAATCACATTTATCTTTTTTATATATAGCTTTTTTCCCCCGCTCTCTTTTCCCTCTCCCTGTTGCTGTGAAAGATCCACACATAGTCAGAATCATTTCCCCCTCTACAAAAGAAACCATGGCACTGGCTGCATCCAAAGTGCTGTCAAATGTACAAAATAAACTGAAAAAAAGAGAGCTGTTTTCTTTCTTTTCTTTTTTTTTCAGTTAGAGTAACTTTATGTGCTACAAATACCTCTACATACAAACATTTCAGAAAGAAATGTGACTACTTTTTTAAAGTTATTGATGTCCTACTAAATGGACTGCAAGGTGAACCTTTTTACACCTGTCATAATTTCATGGTAACTGTAAGGAACAAGCACTCAGGTTTCAAGCCTCTAGTCTTCACCTGTCTCTGGACTGGGACCCACATCCCTCTCCTTCTGACCGGGGGGGTGGGTAGGCTGCAGTCACTGTGCACTCATTGGGTATTTCTACACAGCTCATAGAAGTGAGCCTCGCAGCCTGGGTCAACAGACTTGGGCTAGAGGTGAGCTCACGCTCTATAAATAGCTGTGTGGACAGTGCTTTGAAGGTGAGGCTTGGGGCAGGTTGGTTAGTTTGTAGAGGAGTTGTAGTAACCTTCTTCCCATGAAGTTGAATGCAATCCCTGGTCCACAATGGTAGATAGAACATTCATAAATTTAATATAATATGGTCTTCAGATACTGCATGTGGTTGCAATGCCTGTCACAACCACTGTCTAAACAGCAGAGGAAGTAAACTCAAATGTATATCAGGTAATTTGTTCTTCCAACCAGTCCCTTTTTATATTTGAGAGACTCTCCCCTTCCCATCCCAAGTGATCCCTTCCAAAAACTCCCTCTTTGAGTGACAACTCCCCAGGCATGATCTGTCTCACATGCACATCTTTTGTGCTGTAAGACAGCACAATCTCCTTTCTCTCTGTCTTCCCTTCCTGTTAGGATTTAAACAGCATCCCTTACTTGGGTCCTGGTGGATTACTCTGACAGTTCCATATCATCTTCCCTTAATGACAGTACATCCTGTCTGTTGTCATACAGGAAAATAGAACATGAATTCAGGCCTTGTAGAGATGAGGCATGGTCCTTGCAAAACTGAAAATGGCAGAAAGAGGTCCACAGGGCAAGAAAGTCTGTCATATGCAGAAGATCAGTTAGATCTGTCAGAGGAGCAGGTGGATTCATTCATAACTCCCCATCAGTCTAGTTATGCCATTGGGATTGTTACCAAGCATCCACTCTTACGACATCAGAAGAAATATCCTTTCTTGTATATTAGCAAAGATTGCTCATGTAGATGCCTCTCAAACAACTGCAGCCAGCCCTCGTAGACCCTAACCAGCTCATGCCACTTCTCATAGTGTACTTAGTATGTGTGTGTAATCTATTTCTTCTGGTTCTAGTAAAATCCCTCTGTGGTTTGGAAGCCTCACGTGTTCCTGCTGAGGAAGTGCTCTCAGTGACTGGGGAATCCTGTGACAGTAGCGATGAAATGGATGCTAAGGAAAGCACCAACGAGAGAACTGCCTCTAGAAAAAAGAAAAGCATGAGGCACAAAGGTATGACTCCTTCACTCACCCAGTCAGCTCTGCAGGGTCCTTGCTGGGATCGTCTTCTGCGTTTGCCAAGCTAGTGACTGCTATTTACAAATCAGCAATGTGTCTCTTCAAAGAGTTCAGTGAAGTGTTTGTGCATGTGTTTGTGCATGCACTTGTGTGCACAAAGGCTTAACCAAAGGAATGCTAGGTAGGAGACGTGGTTCATCTCCCCTTTCTTACTGAAGGTGGATTGTTGCAATTGATTGAATCATGCCTAATTGGTTGATTTCGACCACATATGTGCTGCAGATAAAAACTTTCCTGAAACACTATATAAAATCCTACAGTTATGCCACATGAAAGGAGACCTGCAAAGAGAGAAACTTTGTGCCTTATTTATTATTTTGATGTCTCAGGAGAGCACTTCCCCCCCTTTAAAGAAAAATAAAGGGTGGCGATTGCTGAATTGTTTGTATAAAGTATCAGGTATTACCTGTTCTTGTGGGAGGATTCCTTGAATGACTAGAGAACAGGAGGGAGAGCTCTGAAAGCTGGTGTAGGGTGTTGTATCTTTCACGCAGAGCTTATCTTCCAGTTGTTTATTAAGAATGTGAGTTAAATAGTCTGTTAACAAAAACAGACTTAAACAGTTGGGCTAAAAATTGCTGCCCTTGTCACTTGCACAGATTCCATTCTCGTGCCTCTTGGGATGTTCTCCTAGCTCTGAGAAGTATTCCAGCAAAACAAGAAGCCCAGACTGTGTACTGCTAATGTAAAAAGCAAGCCAAAACCACTTTTTCCTTGGTGGAAGAGTTGGAAGCACAAGCCCAATTTCTTCCCTTTTTGGATATCACCTGTCATCCTGCAAACATGAAAGCGTTCAAGAAATGCAAAAGATAGGGATTCCATTAGCATCATTAACTCTGCAACTTTTGCTGTTGTTACTTATTTAGCAGTTTAAGCAATAATTGAAAATCTATAAATGGGCATTGTGGGGAGATTAATGTTCATATTAAGAACATAAGAATGGCCGTACTGGGTCAGATCAAAGGTCCATGTAGCCCAGTATCCTGTCTTCCGACTGTGGCCAATGCCACGTGCCCCAGAGGGAATGAACAAAACAGGTAGTCATCAAGGGATCCATTTCCTGTCGCTCATTCCCAACTTCTGGCAAACAGAGGCTAGGGACACCATCCTTGCAAGTGCAGTTATACCCAGAAAAGTGACTGTAAACTGACACAACCTTCTAGCAGGCTAGCCCCAGTGTGTATTGGAATTAGTCGTGTTGATTTGCCGCTACAGTTAAAATGTAACTTTTTTGTAGTTGCTGTTAGCCTTACAGAATTAACACTGCTCAGGCTCATTCATCTTCAGCAGAGCTATCAACTAAGTTTGATTATCAGGTCCAGCCTCATTGTCTTCAAATTACGATTTTAATTACATCTGTGAAACCCCATGGAAGACACAGAATTGCATATCTGTAACTGAGAGCAGCATTTGCTCTGCATAATCCTTATTGCTGGCAACAATCATGGAATATCAGGGTTGGAAGGGGCCTCAGGAGGTCATCTAATCCACCCCCCTGCTCAAGGCAGGGCCAATCCCCAGTTAGATTTTTGCCCCAGATCCCTAAATGGCCCCCTCAAGGATTGAACTCACAGCCCTGGGTTTAGCAGGCCAATGCATGAGCCTGAAAGAACACAGCTTGACTCTCAGATTTGAGCCTGAGTTTGTGAGGCTAGCAGTTCATTAAAGATGTTAGGGTGTCTTTTTATGGGGTCAACTGAGCAAATTTGGAGCAAAGGACCCAGAGTTGTGTTTTTTAGTCACTTCTGAATAAAGCTGTGTTTCAGCAATTCTATTTTGTGCAGCTCAGTAGGATGTAAGTTGTAACACAGTGCAGATAAGCTATATAGCTGCTATCAGGGTGGATTTGATTTAAATCACTAGACAGGAAGACTCAATTTAATCATGGATTTCTACATAAAAGTGCATTCTTATTGGTTGTTATAACCTTAATACATATTCTTCACAACTCAGAGATAGATGAGACCTAAACTGGGTCTCTCTTACTGCCTGCTGCCATTATAGGTTTTCCTTTCTAGTGAGAGAATGGTATGGTAGCTCTCAAATCAATGAAGGCTACACTCAGAGAGACCTCAAGACTTCAGGAATATGCTGCTCAAACAGTTTCACTTTTGTTTCTACTGCCTGTCCCTGCCTTCTCACATTTATCTCCAGACTTCTTCTCCTTGTCCAGATGTATTCTTCCCCCAACAATCTTCTATTTATTGAACTTTTTGAAACTTTGCACTTTGAGAGAGAGGTAAGGGATTGACTCTGTGCACACAAATTTGCAGAGGGACAATAGGGTTGAGGTCTGTTATTTCTAACCTCTATATATTATATTATTTATTTAAAAACACTTTTTCTGTTAACAAGCATGTTATCTCTGGAGACACAAATCCCCAGTTTGAGAACTGCAAAACTAAGCATCTCTGATGGTATCTTCTAGACTGAGCACTGAGTCCCATTGGGTAGATAGAAAGGTTAACCTAAATAATCTATACAGAAGCCCCTGGAACCCCATAAAACTGGGTCCCTAATCCATGAACTATTGGAACTCATTTACAAAACTTTTCTTAAACATTACATGAATATATTGTCTCATACTATAGAATTAGAATTTATAATCCCTATTCCATGATGAGATATCTTTGAGCTATAATGTTTCTTAATTAAAACTATCTTTAGATAGGTTTTTTCCTCAAAAAGCATTTTATCAAAAAAATCCGATTTAAATAAAGAAAATCCAATTTTTATTTATTTTAAATCATTGATTTTTATCCATCCTGGCTGCAATGCTGTGGATACAGGATTATGCAGCTTCACAGTGCAATGGTTAATATCCTAGCTGAAATTCAAACAGAATTTAATTGCATGTAGTTGAGAGGAAAACTGTAAGTTTTTATAAAGTAACTTTTAGTTAATTTTAAAGAAATTGACTTATGTGGTCCTTTCCATCTGAGAATCTCAAAGCATTTTACAAATAATAATGAATTTAGCTTCACAGCAGTCCTGTAAGATAAGAAACAGTTCCCCATTTTAGAGATGACAAAATTGAGGCCAAGAGAGTTTCCAGGAGAAGAGGACTGGCACAATGGTCAGGGCGATACTCCAGGACTTGGGAGACGTGCGTTTAGTTTTTTGCTCTGCCTCAGACTTTCTGTGTGACCTTGGGCAAGTCACTTTTTAGTTTCTCTCTCTGTCTGTACAATGGGTAAGGCTGTAAAAAAAAAATATCCTGGGCTGTGATCTTGTTGCAGAAACCACAACTTTTAACACAGTTTTTTAGAGTAGCTGCAAATTTGAGTGGCATCGCTAACCCATGCACCAGGTCACATCATCATTCAAATTTAGTCCAGCCACTCCTCCATCATGCTTGCCTTTGGGAGCCAAGTGGGACAACCAGTGTATCTTATATGTTGCTGCCCTGCTTTGGAAGGTAGGCTGCATGCCTTGGAAAAACGTGCTGGCAATATTCCAGATAGGTAACTGCAACTTTAACGAAGTGTGGCAGCAACTTTTGAACCAAAAAATGCAAACAGCTTTCCACAGCCTTAACAATGGGAATAGGCGCACCTCCCTGCGTCACCAGGGGTGAGTGAGGACAAATATCTTAAAGATTGTGGGGCGCTCAGTATTTTAGCCTACAGAGGACCTGAATTTCCAAGGTAAACAAAGCAGTTTTTTACAATGCTCCTTTACCGTCATAAAGAAGAAAAAACATGCCGAAGCCCAAAGTGACATAAGTCAATAGAAGAGCCAAGATCGCCTGGACTTTCAGACATGAGTTTTAATCTCAAGACTATCATTCCTCCCAACTTCTATCCCTCCTTGAGGATTAGCCACAGATTAGGTTTGAAATCTTTGGGCCCCATACAGCCCCAACCTAACAGGGCGTGCATTACATCCAGGGTGGATTGATCTAAATCGTGATTTAAATCAGCAGGTGGGAGAAGCCTTGATGGATGGATGGATGTTTGTTTGTTTTAAATCATTGCTTTTAATCATGTTTTGCATTTGTACTTTTTAGTTCTTTTCCTAAAGAAAGGTTCATGCTTACTAGTTGATAGACATTAAAACAAGTTCATTTGCAACTAAATACAGCCTTTACACTAAATTTGGTGCTTCTTTTTACTAACCGGGAAGATGCACTATATCTATACACATTCATTTTAACAAATATATAGCGTAACTTATGTTTATTCTCATTCTTAATTTTTACATTTATCATGGTAGAAAATGGTGACTGATTCCTTTCTAATTTACTGGATGATGATTAAAAAGGTTATCAAAACATTTTACATTTAAAACTCATTTATTAAACAAAGGAAGTATTGTGTAGTTAATGAATTGAACAGATTTTCTGATCGCCATGTCCTTCAAGATTTTAGAGCTAGTAGATCATATCCTCTCACACCTAGTTTTTATTCGTAGAGGGGAAGATGAAAACAAGCTTTCCAGCTTTTTCAACTTCCGAACCAGTGTCACAACTTTGAATGAACTAATAATTGAACTGAACTAGTTGAATAAACTGAAATTAAGAAAATACTCTTTCTGGACCTGCAAAAAGGCTACTGCAATGTCAAAAGCTGGTTTAGCCTTTGTTTGCCAGAAGCTGGGAATGAGCAACGGGGGATGGATTACTTGATGATTACCTGTTCTGTTCATTCCCTCCGGGGCACCTGGCATTGGCCACTGTTGGAAGACCAGATATTGGGCTAGATGGACTTTTGGTCTGACCCAACATGGCCGTTCTTATATTCTTCTTTTCTTATGTTAACAAACTTTGGTTCCAGGTGATCAGCCAGTGACTTGACATTCTTTAAAACTTGGTAGCAAATATGTACTGCTTAATATTTTTTGTGTAAAATTTAAATAATTTAAACATATTTTTAAAAGTTTAGGCCTTAACACAGGTTGTCAATTTCAAATTTAATTTTAAATAGGATAATTTAAAAAAAAACACCTGTATTTAATTTAATTTTAAAAATTCTATTTGGGGATTTAAAAAAAAAAAAATCATCAGTTTTTACCTACCCTTATTACATCCAAATGAAAGTTCTCTCCCACAGTTCTCAATGCTGAGTAAGGCCTGTAGAATCTATTGAGATATCCGTGTCCCAAAAGGTATCTTAACTTTTAAAACTTGAGCAAAATCCATCAGCATTGATAGTATTAGACTGTTGGAAAAATATACGTGCTTTGTGCTCAGGTATTTCTAGGTGCATTTGGAATTAAACAAGTATGTGAAACTTTAGTCTAGTGGAACAGTTTTGAGAGCTCCGTGTGAGTGGAAATGGGTTGTTAATGACTAGAGAAGCCTTCCTGGAAGTGTTTGCTTTCCTGAAAGCTGTAATTGAAATGTAGATAAAACAAAGCACCTTTTAAAGGTGGGTTACACAAGAGATAATGACAGTCAAAAAGGGAAACTTTAAACTAGACAACTCCCACCTTTTCATGTTCTCTGTATGTGTATATGTATCTCCTTACTATATGTTCCATTCTATGCATCTGATGAAGTGGGCTGTAGCCCACGAAAGCTTATGCTCAAATAAATTTGTTAGTCTCTAAGGTGTCACAAGTACTCCTGTTCTTTTTAATGACTAATACGTTTCTTTCTCTCTTTCTACATTTTGTTTATGCTGATAGTGAAATCCCACCGGTCCCCTAAAGCACCAGTGGGGCCTATGGGTGGGTCTACACTTAAAAAGCTGCAGCGATTCAGCTGCGCCGCTGTAGCGCTTTAGTGAAGATGCTGCCAAGCTGATGGGAGAGCTTCTCCTGTTGCCATAGGTGCTCCATGTCTGTGAGAAGTTCTCCCGTCAACATAGCGCTGTCTACGCCAGGGGTTAGATTAGCATAACGGTGTCACGCAGGGGTGTGGCATTTTCATACCCCTGAACAATGTAGTTATACCCTACAGAGTGTAAAGTCTAGACCTGGCCTTAGTGTGTAAAAATGGTCCATCCTCAAACACTTGTTTCCAAGTCTTTTGGGAAGGTTAGTGTTGTATGAGATTTGGTGTAACAGATACCAGCGCTCCATAATGCTGCTCTGATGCCTCTTATAAAGAAAGAACTGAGCCAAAGGGAGAGGCAGTCTCTATGGGGTAACAACATTTTGGAGTTCAGGTGCCTCTAGCCTTAAGTTTCTTCATGATGAGCTACTGTAAACGAGCGTATGGACTGAGCCCCTCTTTGGCTAATGTGGCCTCTGTGCTGTCCCACAGCCACCTCATTTACAGAGTGTGTGTGTTCATGGCAGGTCGTGCAGCACTTGCAGAATAGTGCTCAACGGAGAGGAGCCAATCAGCTCAATTTGCATGCCTTAAGGTTTATAATGCAGGAGCTGTGTTACATAATGTGTGTTTGCTATGCTTAGAAAACCCTGATGAGGCTGTTGGAGAGGATTATCCCATTGACATCTGGCTGTTGCTGGCCTCCTACATACGTCCAGAAGATACAGTGAAGTTTTCTCTGATTTGCAAAAGAGCCTGGACTGTCATTTGCACTGCTGCCTTTTGGACCAGACTCTACAGAAGGTGCAACCACAAAGAGTTTGTAAACATACGCTTCAGTATTTGTGGGTGTCCATCAGTGTCGGACCAGAATTTGCTACAGAGCTGTTAATAGGGATCTATCTCCTCATTGGGTCAGTCATGCTAGATGTTGGGACATGGTTCTTTTCTAATGTGGTTGCAGCATGTGTGCCTCTGAAATCTTTGCCATTCTATAACTGGTGGTGATTGGCATCCTGTATCCTAGTCTGGGCTGTTTCTATTAAATGTTGGTTTGGAGAACTTTAAATAGTATTTCTTAAGAGATTTGCTTCCTATCCGATCTGTTTCACAGCCTGAAAATAACCACTATTTTGTAATCTTCCTGTATGTCTAATGTTTAAAAATGTGGTGAGCTCTAATTGTCAAGGCCTAAACACTCAAAAGAATGTCGTGCCCATAAGAGTACATCTTGTGTGCAAAGCTCTCACAAAATGCTTACAGGAAAGTAATGGCATTGCCTCATTTTGAAGGCTTAATTTTTGGGTAATGTTTTGCCTCTTAGTCTCAGGCATTCCTTGCGGTGATCTGCCCATAAATTAACAAGGGGCAGGACTTAATGAAAATAAAGGCATTGTATCAGACTGTGCTGGGTTTTAGGGGCAACCAGAAAGATGGTAGAAGTGGGAGATGGTGCAGAAGAGGAGGAGGGAATAGATGGAGAGCATATAGGTGTCAGCTCACTATGCAAAAGTTCAAGCTTCTTCCTCTGGTCACATCCTTGACTCTCCTTTTTCACTGGGAAGACTGACATTTATTCCTATTATTAAGCATATATATCAGACAAAATCAGCGTTCTTTTCCTATTTGTACTCTTGCCTGTTTTCTGTTTTGCTTCTCAACCTCTTTGTACTCTGTGCCACACACTAAAGATACTAGAGACCTTGCTAAGTCTCACTCACAGCCTTGGCACATCGTGGTGCGAAGACCTTTTGAGACTGGCAGGCCATCTAATGCAAAAACAGTATGGCGCCCTTGCAGAATCTGAAGATGGCTGCAGGTCTCCAGACACCAGCTATATATGAAGGGGCAATGTGACTGCCAAGAGATGTCAGTGGGTGATGTGGTATAAAAGCAGAGTTTGACCCCTTTGTTCAGTCACCTTCTTTAACACTTATTTTGTAGCTCCCTGAGATTTACCTGAAATCCAGTACAGTTATGGCTTTTCAAGGGGTTTTGGGTTTGTCCCTGTTTCCTTTAGGCACTACGCTCTGGATGCGTACCTGCCTCTCCGTTTACGGCCAGAATCGATGGAAAGGCTGCACTGCCTCCGTGCGTGTGTCATCTGTTCATTATACCACATGTATGAACCTTTTGCTTCTCGTGTCTCCAGGAATCTGGCTGTTCCAGAGACTACCCCCAGCACTTTAAAGAATTCCAACGTAAGTAATAGTGTTTGGGGAAGTGAACTAACCTGTGTTCAGCTGGTACACTCTCTCTGCTTTTTGTTATTCCCCTTTCAGAGAAATAAATCTGATTCAGATGGATCCTAGTGAAATAAATGCACTGGATCAGTGATATACATAGGAAGCTAGGAAGAGTCTGACTTCTGAAGTTTTATCAATTACCTGTGTTTGTACAGCCCCTAGCACAATGGGGTCCTGGTGTGTAGCTCCTAAGCACTCCAGTAATACAAATTAGGAAAATGTCATTTTACAGTGATGGAAGCTCTGTCACTGACACAATCCACAATTGTCCCCTTCCCTCCTCTACACAACCCAGGTTCCAAAAGGAGTTTGAGCTAGGTAGGCATTTTTGTCTACTACTTGCACTGTTGTAACTATATTATTTTGGAATGTTTCTTCTGGGTCAGTGGCAGAGGATCACAAATGCCACTGACAGCCTCTAAAAGGAGAGTCCTTTCACACCGCGCTCCTGCAGACCATCACCTTTGGTTTCTCTGAAGGGGGGAGTGTCATGAGGTGCGGAGCTAGCGTGCAAAGCAAGTGCCTGCTTTGGGGTGTGGCTGTGAAGCTGGGGAGAAATTGTCTGCTGTGTCATTGGGCAAAACCAAACTGCAGTCCTTGCTTGGAGCATTTGTGTATCTAGCCACAGGTGGCTCTTTAATGTGTCTCTTGCAGCACATGATGTTAAAAAACTGTATCATTTAATTATTAACCAATCAGGATGCTTTTACTGTGTTATTAAGCAATTGTCGAATACCCGCAGTCATTTTGCTGTGAGAGTAAATAAAACAATGAATTCCCACGACTGTGACTTTTTGGGGTAATGTTGATGGGTGATTTGGCTCCTGAACCCCTGAGATCTGAGTATCACTGCTCTATGCAAACTACAACAAATCCATTTCTTTGCTGTGCGACGTCTTTGCTGCTTCTGTCCTTCCCCACGTGAAGACACTGCTAAAGTGGCAAGTTGCCCTGAGATAAGACTGAGAACAGCGAGCAGCAACAGGTAGGTTGCGCTGCAGATCAGGATTAAGATGCATTTACAGCCTTTTGTGCACAAGTCCTCTGCACCTGTTTGCTCCCTGACCTAATAGGGAATATCACATTCAGGCAATGCCTTCCTTAAAAAGAAGGGAAAAAACCTGCAGTTCCACTAACCTCCTGTTATAGTCTCAGTCCCTCTGAATCTAACCACCCGTCAGAGCAGCCTGAACCCCATCCATCTTTTGGTCTGATTAGTAGACCCCCCTCCTCCCGCAGTGGAAGGGTCAGTGTCTGGGATTCATTCACGTTCACATCATAACGGCTTTGGTGCCCACTCCTGGTGCTTCTACCATACTAATAGTTTTGTAAAGATTCCTTGCGTGTAATACTTTTTTATTACCATTCACTTAAACAAGGAAATTAAATGACGATAAGCCTTTGTTAGAATAACAGTAGAGGTCTGACTTCAATCCATCGAAGCATACAAATGCCCTTGTACGTCTGGACTCCAGACTGTGTCCTCTTTGTTCCATGTGCTGCAATGCCTAGGCACAGTGGTGTACATTGAATGGGACCTTACATTTCCTCTGCGATTCCTTGCTTTCATGGGTTTTGGTTAGACCCCTAGGGGTCTGTTAACACTGATGGGAGATGCTCGTGTAAACTGTGCATGCAGCGAAGGGAGACTCAGACCCCTATATTACTGAATCCAGCTTTTCCTCTTTAATTTCCTTTCTTCTTTCCCTAGCGTAGCTTGTGTGGGACACTGGAGCCGTTGTGGTGTCAGCAGAAGTGTTTGCCCTTTAAAGACACCCCCATTATTTTTGGTGGAGCAGCAGGCCATACGGTGCACGTCTGAAGGGCAGGACGGCTGACACGCGGATGACATCCTCTGCCCCTTAGGAGGTACTTACCGTTTTGTGCTTAACTACTTGCCATGATCACATGAGCTGTTAGATGAAGCTGTGTCTGTAAGGGCACGCGCTGGCTCTGGGTCTCTAGACGTACACACACTGGCTCTGATCAAACTGGCATGCTAAAATAGAGTGGTCGTGTCATCGTGTGGCAGGAGGGACTAACCGCCCGAGTGTAACCCAGTTAGAAGTGGTAGGAAGGTACTTGGACAGCTAGCCTAAGCTGCCACCATGGCCACGCTATTATTTTCAGCATGTTAACTTAATTCCAGCGAGTACATGTAGGTCCGCCCACCCTGGGAATTACATCTCCAGCTGCAGTGTAGATGTACTCAGAAGGTGAACGGCAAACTCAACTGCAAATGGAATTAAGCCCAGCAGTATCTGCTGCATGCCCCCCGCTAAGCACAATCCAGGGAGCAGTCAGTATTGTAATCGGTTAGAACTGTTTGCTGCCGCTGCTGCCTGGTGGGGGAGATCGTTTAGCCCATGCTCCTGAGCTTAACTGCTCTTCAGCTTTGTGCTTCACCTCTAGGGGATTCACCACTGCAGAGATCCTTCCAGCACTCCTGCCTGTGACTATGATTTAGAAGTGAAGTGAAAGGCCTTGTATCACTGCAAAGCCACACAGTAGGAGTGACCCAGGCTAGGTGCTAAGTGGGGTTACATGAGTCCCTCACCCCAACTAGAATTAAATTGCATTAAAAAGGTGCAGTTTGCATCAGCCCTTGTTCTCTTTTTTTTCCATCCATGAAAGCAATTAGTGCTGGTGCGGCCTCTCAGATTTGACAGTGTTAGTGACTGCAGCTAGCAGATACAGCATTGGCAGATAAGTTTCCCCACATTGACCCAGAAGAGGCCTTAACTCTGACTCAGAGAGACCATCTCTGGGTGAGAGGGGAGTTTTCTCTATGACGCATGCCATTCTTTCCCTTCCTGCTGAGGCTGTTAGCAGGCCCACTTCAGGTCAGTTGTTATAGAAGGTATCTCTTGTGATGTGGACACTTACTCTCTGGCAACTGGACTGAGATTTGCCAGGCTCTCTCCTTATTGGCTACTGAATGGCTGTCAGATGACTGCAACTTCCAGTCACCGTCAGCTTATCGATATGATATTGGGCTCTATTTAACCTCCCCCCTCACCTGAATACAGTAGTTCTGCTAAGACTCTCCTATTTCATGGAGCATTGCATGCCAGGACATAGAATCTCACAGCTGTAAGGCTGTATAAAGGTGTGGCAGTCAGAGATTACACTATAGAATACCTGAGAGACCTTTGCCAGCAGATCCAGGCTTTGGTTGCCTCTGGCATTGAGGCATCGGACCCCATGTATTCATCCACCTTTAGAAAAGAAGCAATGTTCTGAGCCACTAGTTGAACTGTACAGACAAAGCTTTGCTTTGTGATTTTGAAATACTAGGACGTTGCCTAATGGAGGGGAGTGTGACCTCTGGGTGCGCCTCCTCTTCCCCCCCCCCCACGCTTTTTCAGCTCTGTCCAGTCGCTTTTAACATTTGCCTCTCTTTGATTTCTCCTTCCCTGATCTGCTGTTTGCTCTCCCTCACTCCTGCTCTGTTCTGAGTGTGAGCTGAATGCATACATTGACCTGAGATTTTATCAGTTTAATTTGGCTATTCCATGTAGTATGTAGAGGAGCAAAGTCCATTCTGCTTTCCTCTTCTATGTGGAATGGGTGAGCGCAACAGAGGAAGCACTGCTAGAGCCCAAGTCCTGTGTCACCCTCTGGTATAGCGAGGTTGCCACCTGCTGACTGGCAAATGGAAAATGCCAGGTATGCATTAATGTTTGCAGTGTAGTTGTAGCTGTGTCGGTCCCTGGATATTGGAGAGAAGGTGGGTGGTCCAGTAAAAGAGATTACTTCACCCACCTTGTCTCTCAGGTATGCATTAATGTAACTAATGGGACCAGACTGCTGCCATCTCTTCAGCTGCTCCTGTGGTTTGTAGTTTGAGCTCTCTTTGCCTGTGTTGAAATTCACTAAAAATGAAATAATTAACTCTACTACTGTATTTTTCCCCCCCCATATCAGTGTTTGCTTTTCTGGTGCAGAAAGATTGAAGGGAACAGACGAGAACCTATGTGGGAATTTAACTTCAAATTCAAAAAACAGGTATGAAAGCTAACCACTTGCCATTGAAATGTCAGGGCGGTAAGGTTTTGAAGCCATAATGATTTTTCTTCCAGAGTTGTTATGATGGGTGCAGTAGATCAATTAAAATCCGATCTCCTGGTAAAAGAAATACATATTGCCAAATGCAGAGGTGGGCAGGTAAGGCACTTGTGGAGCTGCTGAGTAGGAAAACTAGAGCAGGAGGCAATTCTTACTGCTTTAAAACAGGCCAATGTTTTCAGTCTTGAGTGTCTAAAGGATTAGATCCCTATGTCCATATTTAGGCTGCTGATTGCCTGCCCCTAACCCAACGTGCTGAGTATCTATAGCTCCAAATACCTTCAGTGGGGAGTTGCGATGACTCGGCTCCTCTGAAAAGCCAGTCACTTTGATTTAGTGGCCTACGGTTAGGGACCCAAGTTTGAAATGTGTTGAATTAATGTCTTTTCTCTCTTCACACGGAAAGCCTTTCCAAAGCTAACCAACCCTTTTATCGGGGGGTGACAGTAATCTTTGTGAAACCCTCCTTTAACCAGACTCAGGATAAATGTATAATACCGAGCACCCTATCAGGGCCTTCAGAGTCTGTCTTCAAAGAGACAGTCTTGCAAACCCTCCATCCCAGGGTTTTCATTGAACATGGAGCCCTTTTGCCCGAACAGTTGGGCGTTAGGCAGGAATCTGCTGCTGAGCCAGGATGGTCTCTAGACATGAAGTGAAATTTCTGGTTGGCTTCAGTTTAGTTGAATGAACCGGTCTGTCTCGTTCTGTCAAGCCTCCCAGATTGAAGAGTAACTGTTGCAAAGGTCTTCAGCCACCTGTTCAGTATGAGGATGTTCACACAAATCCTGATCAGGACTGCTGTCTGCTGCAAATCACCACCCTCAACTTCATCTTCCTGCCGGTAGTCATGGGTCTGATATTTACCTTGGTAAGTGTTAAGAAATCTGCACGTAAGCACCATAAAAATGTGCTAAGAAAATGGTCTGGTCATTACCGCATGTCTGTAAATCTTGCTGCACCAGCAGACTAATTAATATGCATTTCCCTAGTGCATTGGGGCCATCACTCAAGGATCTCTTCAGTTTAGTTTCTGCAAGCAGGGCCGGCTCCAGGCACCAGCCCACCAAGCTTGTGCTTGGGGCGGCACCTGGAGGGGGGCGGCGCGGTGCTCCGGCTCCAGCCACCGGGGAGAGCGAGGCCGCGACTGGGCTCGCCGCCCTCCCCCGGCGCTCTGGCCGCCGGGGAGAGCGCAGCCGCGGCGGGCTCGCCGCCCTCCCCCCGGCGCTCTGGCCGCCGGGGAGAGCGGAGCCCCCGCTGGGCGCTCCGCCCTCCCCCCGGCGCTCTGGCCGCCAGGGAGCGCGGAGCCCCCGCCGGGCTCTCCGCCCTGCCCCCGGCGCTCTGGCCGCCGGGGAGCGCCCAACTAGAAGGGACTGTTTGTCAGCTGTCTTCAACGAAATGTGCTCCATTCCTGGGGGAAGGAAGGATGAGGATTTGTATTCTCATCGTGCCTAGGAGTCTTAGTCAGCAGCACCTAAAATACCCTAGATAACTTATGG